CATGAGTTGTTAATGTACGAGTATGTATCATAAAAGTTAAAATATCAGTACACCGCTGCACAATTTCCAAATGAATATTGGATCCAAATATGTATTCTAAAATTGCATATTCCTTTAATTTTTCATTAAGCACACTAAAATGATATCATTTATTATTATTCATATTAAATAATAAACTTTAAAAAGGAACAAAAATTTCTGATAACAATAAATAATCAAATACCGATGGATTTTATCGGAAGGGTTTTCTTCATCCATTTGAATAACATCGTCTTCGCCATCAACGCTTAAACTTCTTTTCCGAGCATTTCCTCTACGCTTGCTCTTTTTAAGCACTCTTGCTTGTTTTAAACCTAAAATAAGAGCTTCTTTAATTTCATTTAAACCTGATAACCGCAAGTCTAATCTTGAAGTCTTCAATAAACGAGCTGCGATATCAATTTTCAATTGAGCACTCCTAATAACTTGTTGCTCGTCAGGTACTTCCTGGTATAATATATAATCACTATCATCATCGTCATCTTCATCTGATGATATCATTGGATGATAGTTTCTTTCAATATCTTTAACTGTACCAGTAACGGATGAAGGCAAATTTAATATCATGGAAGTAACCATGTGAACAATATTAGGGATTAATTTTTTATCTTGACGGACGAGCCATTCTTCAGGTATGTTTATAATTTGATCATATACACAATTTGCAACTTTCATTACAATTTGTCTAAAGTCCACATTATTCGGAACGTATGGGCCAATCTAATAAAAAAATTAAATTAACATGTATAAAAAAACTTATAAGTGTAAACAAAATTTAGTTATATACCTTATGGATCATTCTGATCACACCATGAACGTCTTTCAAATCAAGGTTGTTAAAGCGATGCGTACTGGTTCGTATCGGTCGCGTCGTCTCATCGACATAACCTAGAGCTCGAAGAACCGCATCCAATCCACCATTACTGACGAACGTATTTATTGCTTCGTATTGGTACTGGGATATACGTGGTTCCAACTTTGGAATTGGGAACAGGTACCAAGCATACATGAAAGGCTTTATCAGCACAAATTACTAATGAGAAACCATCTTAAATTGATAAAATCTTCATTGATTTCTCTTGAACCTGTTCCATTGCAATTATATCACTTGAATCATCGTATTCGCCAATCTAAATAAAGTCAATAATTAAGATGAATCAATTAGTTATATATTTTTTATAAGTTTAGGTCTGTCTGCAAGATTTCAAAATATATTTGTAATTTTGAAATCATCCAGCCTCCTCAGTATCACCAACTCCCATCATGACTGAATTTACACCTACGTCTAATCGCCTTGAATCGAATCGATTATCAAATCTACGATAAAACGTAGCATTTTCATCTCCTAATATGCGAGACACTGCATCTTGCATATGTTCTGAAAGAGGAAATTCTTCATCGCTTACGTTCATTATTTCTGGTTCTTCAATAAGACGAATAGAAATTTGAAGAACCCTTGTTAGAAATGTTTGAATTGTATTCGCAATAGTATTTGCTTGAACGGGAGCTATAGTGGTGTAACTTTTTTTTTCCAAAAAAAAAAGTTACAACAATGAATCATATTGATGAAATAATATTTAGTATTGTTGTTATAAAAAATAAAAATAATAAAAAGAATATACAATAATATACAATAAAGAATGAGTATAGAATAACAATAAAAATAAGAAGTTCTCAATATTCTCCAAAAATAATATAAATACCCTCGAGTAAGCAGTACAATTGTAAATTTTGGGAACCATTCTCTATACATTAAATCAATGACATAATTAGAGTCCAAACTACTGCGAGAGATAATTAAATCTCCAAAATCGATAAACTTATTAAGTGTTTTGCAAGGATTTGCTATTAAAATTGCAATAATATAATTAATCAAATAAATTATATTAATAAAAAAAAATTATATAAATAGCAAATAACAATAATAATAATAAGAATAATAACACAAACGTTCTTTCAATTGACTAACATATTCATCATAATTAATAGTATGGTCGTCATCCTTTGTACCACGCCTTCGTGAACCAGTAGCTGAGGTTTGTGAATGCCTTCTTCGCTGACCGGGTTCACTATCGTCGTCAATATCATCAGATACATAGTCTTCATCTTCGGAAGATGAAGTAATACGTCGATGATCTTTACGACTATTACGACCACGATGAGAAGAATGCTGTTGCCTAGATGTCTCTGAAGCCAAAGCAACACGTTTCTTTGGATGTTGTTCATGATCTCGGCGGGATACACGTGTAATTGGTTTGGTTAATACAACATCATCGTCATGACCATCGTATTCTTCAACTATTTCTTCATCAATATCCTCAATATCGTCGTCTTCATCGTCATCTTCATCGTCATCTAACTCATCATCATCGCTACTACTCTCTGGTTTAGTAGGTTGACGACCAATAATTTCTTCACTCTTTTCCGACAAGTTTTCTTTCTCACTGTTTGCCGCATCCAAATCATCTTCAATTATTACCACATTCTCTATTTCTGTTTCAATATCTTCATTTTTATCCAAATTTTGTTTTTCGACTCCCTCTTTCATGTCAATAAACTCTTCCTGTTCACGGGGTTCCCAGACTACGGGTAGCTTTTGTGACATGGCTTAAGGATTGAATGTAAAAAAAAAAAATAATAATAATGAGATCGTGCTATCAAATTAACAACCGAGTTGGTTATATATTTATAAGTTTCTTGATCGTTTCACAAGATCTAGGGCCAGTAAATAAAAACACGCGTTGTGTGATGTTGTATGTATACAAAATATGAAAACGAAGTGCTGTCCGCAATCAATGAATGCGGTTGTAGACTTTATGAACTTTGCGTTACTGAAAAGTGTAAATCCCGAATTCAAAATACACGGAGCAGCCTACGATTCAACTGAATGGAAATCGCGTTACCCCCCAAAACCAATAGGCCCGAGAGTTAAAATTAAAAAAAAAAAGTATATTGAAAGCCACTCGTTTAATAAAGGGAGAAGGGATAACTGCCAATTCCGGCGAACTTTGATAGTTATATAACTACTAAAATATCCTGTGATACATTAGACGAATAGGTTTATGACGAAATTCAAACCCGCAGTTTCTTTAACGTGGGAATATCTTTGAAGAATTATTGGATAAGGACAAACTATTATTTAACTTGAAAAGTAAATTCATTTTTTTTTCCGTAGTCAGCCATAAATCTATTACTAAGCTTTTCCTACTATATCCTCACTATATCCATTAATAGATTGATTAGCAAACTTGCTTCGTTACACAACTTCAATAAAAATATTTTTTGATAATTCTAATTTATAGGAAAACTATGTCAAAATAATCCGCATCAAAGTATAATAGTTAAATGTTTTAATCTTTAGATTATCTCGAGAACTTTTTTACTATTTTCTTTTACACGCCATATTCAATTTTCACTAACTGAAATGGCTTCAATTCTATAAGAAAGATATAATCAGTTACAAACAGCTGTAAAGTTATAAACTATATCTTGATAACTCACTTTCTGTTTCGAATGGTCCTACGGGTAAGAAACTTTCAATGGATTTTCCGGAAACTGCCTTTTCACTAATTACCATCAATTTATCACCAACGGAAGATCCCGAGTATGTATAATCAAATAATAGACATGATTATTGAGTTATTTAATTAAACAGGAAATCAGGCACTAGATAAAATATCACATCCGTTTTGGTTATTAAGACCTCTCGAGTCTTCAGGAATAATAATCGCATTAAAGAATTCCAAAATACATGAAATAATTTTTTGTATTCAATATTTGAACTGCCAAGTTACTTTATAAAATAAAAATTTTACCATTTATAATCAACCTTTCGAGGAATTGAAATAAGTCGCAACATATAAAGCGCATTGGACCTCTTTCTTTTATCGTTATCACAGTAGAAAAGCTTCTCCCTCATACTATAATAAAATTGAGGATGCTTTTTTACGTGATTCGAAGTGAACAAAACCGATCAACTTATGAGTAATTTAATAAAGAATAAATCATAACAAATAATAATTTACCCTTATCTTCTTCACCACATGGACAAGATCAAATTTGTAGCTTCGATGCGTTCCGACATTTCTTCATGGTCAAGATCTGTGATGTCACCTTCGATCATCACAGAAAGTTCCGGGTTTCCGTAGCAATCTTTAGACAATATTGTATGTAAAAATTTAAATAACACTCCCACGAAGGAAGGGCGGTAAACCTCGGACAAGTTTCTTTGTTTGTTATAAAGGTAGGAGCATAAGCGGTTCCTCCTCCAGAACCAGTAGTCCTTTATCAAAGAAACCCCACTTTCACAAGAAAAGGTGAGGAGAAGTCAGTTGTTATTTCAGAGTTCCAGGATAACTACGGTTACGATCTCAAATAGCAAGATACAGAAGGACTGTTATAACTTATCTCTTTCAATTGTGAATTGTAAAAAAAATATATATATATATCAATGTGAAAGACCGAAAGATACCTAAGGACGCGTTATAAGAGATAAAATATATTGGCAAATACTTATTTTGTATCACACGATACGACACGTGAACAAATTTATTTGGGTCTACTAAATGTGACGAAATTCAATCATTAACTACGTTAAGCTTTGGTAAATAACATGTGATGTTTTTTACCCCAAGAAGTATTTTTATAGAAAGGGTATAGGCGATCTTCAACCTAAAATTATTGCAAAATTTTATTCTGGACTTTACTCGAAGCGTAAAGTCGGTTCTATTACTAATATTTACATTTTCACATGATAACTTCATCAGAAATGACATAATGAAAATAAAGTTATATAAAGGTTCACCTTTATCGAACTCTTTCGCTTTTTACCTTTTGAAATAAAATAATTCAAGGAAAATATTTTAGGAATTTATATTCTACAGTAAAAAAAAAAATTATTGAACATTTGCGACTAGTTTACTGCGGCATCTGAATCGAAATTTTTATAAATTTTTTTAATAATGAATAACTACAAATTTACCGATAAAGCGGAGAAGACTATTGCAGCAGCTTATCAAATAGCTCAAGAATATGCTCACGTTCAATTAATTCCAGCTCATATCGCATGTGCATTAATAGATGATGCAACTGGTGAATCATTATTTAAAAACATCATTAATAAAGCTGGTGGTGACGCGTCTTCAGCTGAAAGAGCGTTTAGGAAGTTGGTTGTAAGAGCTCCTTCACAAGATCCGCCACCATCTGAGGTATCACTAAGTCCTCAAGCTAGTAAGGTTATCCGTGGTGCACACGATATTCAACAACGTCAGAAGGATAGCTACATATCCCAAGATCATTTAATATTGGCGTTAGCCGATGATTCACAAACTTTACAAGCCTTAACGGAATCTGGTGTCACAAAGAAAGCTTTGGAAATTGCCATAACTCAAGTGAGAGGGTAAATCTTTGGAAATTATATTTGCGTCTCTAACAAATTTTATCGCTGTAGTTTCTATAATAATTTGAAAATTTTATTTTAGAAATCGTCGTGTTGAATCAAAGAGTGGTGATGAAAATTATCAAGCCTTAAGCAAATATGCGGTTGATCTAATTGAATTGGCAAAATTGGGAAAACTTGACCCAGTTATTGGCAGGGATGACGAAATACGTCGGGTGATTCGCGTTTTAGCCCGCAGAACGAAGGTTTATCATATTGACTTTGAAAATTTTTTATTTCTTTATTAAAAAAATAATAAATTTTTTATTTTTGACATTCGATTTCTAAATTTATAGAATAATCCGGTATTAATTGGTGAGCCGGGTGTTGGTAAAACGGCAATTGTGGAAGGTCTTGCGCAAAGAATTGTAAGAAAAGATGTTCCACGATCTCTAGACGCAAAATTATTCTCCCTAGATATGGGAGCACTTATTGGTACGTAGAAAACTAATTTTTAGGTTTGTCAACGTCATCGAAAATAATTACTTAAAAAATTAAAATTTTTTTTTTTCATGATAGCTGGCGCAAAATATCGTGGTGAATTTGAAGAAAGACTAAAAGATTTACTAAAAGAAATAAAAGAATCGGAAGAAGGAATTATATTATTTATTGACGAAATCCATTTGGTGTTGGGAGCTGGTAAAGCAGAAGGTTCGATGGACGCAGCTAATCTCCTTAAACCAATGTTGGCTCGTGGAGAGTTACGATGTATTGGAGCGACCACATTAGATGAATATCGAAAATATGTTGAAAAGGATGCAGCATTCGAACGTCGTTTCCAACAAGTAATGGTAGGGGAACCATCCGTTATTGATACTATTAGTATCTTGAGAGGGTTGAAAGAACGTTATGAGACTCATCATGGTGTGAAAATTGCCGACGCAGCTCTTGTGGCCGCAGCACAATTATCAGCCCGATACATTACCAATCGGTTTTTACCTGATAAAGCCATCGATTTAATGGATGAGGCTTGTGCAAATACTAGAGTTCAACTTGATTCAAGACCTGAAATCATTGACCAATTAGAACGTAGACACCTTCAACTCGAAGTTGAAGTTGCGGCTCTTGCAAAAGAAAAAGATGAACCTAGTCGTCAGAGACTTCAAAAAGCCAAAGAAGAAATGGCTGAAATTCAAGAACAACTACGCCCTCTTAAGGCGAGATATGAGCATGATAAGAGTCGATTAGATCATATTAGGCAACTTAAACAAAAATTGGATGAATTGAGAGCAAAAGCCGAGGATGCTGAAAGGCGTGCTGATATACCGACAGCTGCTGATCTTAGATACTATGCCATTCCTGAAGTTGAGAATCGTATTCAAGAATTACAAGATCAAAAAGTTAAGCAAGAAGAAGATAGGGCCTCTAATCCAAATATTACAGAAAATAATTTATTAACGGATACAGTTGGTCCGGAACAAATAAATGAAGTTGTGTCAAGATGGACAGGTATTCCAGTATCGCGTCTTTCTAAATCACAAGCAGAGAGGTTGCTCACACTTGCTGAGTCACTACATAAAAGAGTGATCGGTCAAAATGAAGCTGTTGATGCGGTCGCTAATGCCGTCTTAAGAAGTCGGGCTGGTTTAGCACGCGAGAATCAGCCCCTTGGAAGTTTCCTATTCCTTGGACCGACTGGTGTTGGTAAAACTGAACTGAGTAAAGCTTTGGCGCATGAACTTTTCGATGATGAGAAATTTATAATTCGTATCGATATGTCGGAATATATGGAAAGGTAAATATTTATAATCAAAAATATTTCATTTTTTTTTTTTTGCTTTGAACTCGAAAAAATTATTATTATTATTATTATTATTTTAGTCATTCCGTGGCGCGTCTCATCGGAGCACCTCCAGGTTATGTTGGTCATGATGAAGGAGGTCAATTAACGGAGGCAGTTAGAAGGCGACCTTATAGTGTAATATTATTTGATGAAGTTGAGAAAGCACATACTCAAGTTCTTAATATACTCTTGCAAGTGTTAGATGATGGTCGTTTAACAGACGGTCAAGGTCGTCATGTTGACTTTAGTAATAGTGTAATCATATTGACAAGGTATATGCGTTATATATTTATATCAAAATTTCGAAATTTCTTCAAACATTATTTCAATAAGTTTTCTTTTCCAATAGTAATTTAGGGTATTATCACCTACAAGGCATCACAACGGACGTAATTAGTGATACAATTAAAGAGGCAGTAATGAGTGATGTGAAAAGACATTTCCGACCGGAATTCTTGAATCGGTTGGATGATATAATTATCTTTACGCCACTTGGTGTTCAACGTAAGTCTATTTGTTTTTAGTCTTTCATATATGAAAAAATTATAATTCTAACAGTTTCCAAAAAAAAATCTAGATATTCAAAAGATTGTCGACGTTCAATTAGATAGATTGAATAAACGTCTGGAAGATAGACGTATCAATTTAGATGTAGATAAAAATGCACGCAAATGGCTAGCAGAAAATGGATATGATCCCGTATATGGCGCTCGTCCACTAAACAGGTTAATTAAAAATAAAATCTTGAATCCATTGAGTAGACTTTTAATCGGTAAGTCAGTCATATATTATAATTAAGTTTTAATTTTTTGTGCTTTTAATTCTAATCTTCTCTTTAAATAGATGGTGGAATAAGAACCGGAGAAGTAGCACATGTTTCAACGTCAATTAATAACGTAGATATTGTGATAGCAAGAAATCACGCATTAGACGATAATGAAATGGCGGTTGATGAGATGGATGGAGATGAATATGATGAAAAGTTAGAACTGGATTAATTAAATTTTAAGATCGGTTAATTATTAGATGTAAACGAAATTTAATATTGTATAGTTAAATTTATAAACATTTGAATATATTTAAAATTATTTTATCTATTATTGGCAAATAGTTCATTATATTTATGATTAATAATTTTAATGTCGGGAAAAAATAAAAATTCTTATTATTAGCGTAGATGAACATTGATGAAAATTAATACACAATTGAAATCGATATACTAGAAATTCTTAGGCAGATTTCATAATGAAACTACGGTATAATGGATTTTTAGAAAAATTCCATTAATGGAGAATTATAGTTTCAACCTTTTTTTATTTATTTTTTTTTTTTTTTAATAAAAGGATATGATCGTTTTTTTAAGGTCAAATTTTATTACCAATTCCAAACACATTAGGAAAAGATATTCTTCATTATAATGCAATTATCGGATGGATTGAATCGATCAACTATAGTTAAAAAATAGTCAACTATAATCAATCAATTGGCATAATTATATTACATAATAACTAAGGCTCCATCAAGCAATGCCCGGAGAAAAATTCCCCGGGTGCCATTTAGATCTCTATTAATCTGAAGTCCACACCCATCACACCTAAATACTTTATTTCCACCCAAATTCCTTTTAATATATCCGCAATGACTGCATGTTTTACTTGTATATGCTTCAGATAGAGATGTTATTATGATTTTACCAAATTCTTCCGCCTTAGATAACAATCAATTCCTAAACTTAGCATGCGTCCAGCTCATCATCTTTCGAAATGTTTTACTGTTAATTTCTTTTTTTCCTACGAGACATCTGTGTGATATTAAATCTAGGTAACACAATTATGTCAAAAGTCTTAGTCAACCACAATGCAGTTTTTTTATGCACTTCATCCACTAAATTTTGAATATGTTTTCTCATGCGTACTTGAGCGCGCTTAATAGAGTTACGCTGTTTTGCTAATGCTCTGGTGGTGCGTGAAATAAGCCAAGTATAAGCGAAAAAATATGATTGATATCATTGTCTCTGATATTTCAATAATCAATTGTGAGCATACCATATAAGAAAGGTACAAACTTCAGGATCGATGGCTGTAACGTGAATTTCTTCTGCTGAATCTTACAGATAGACTTTCCATGTATCTATACGAATGTTTAATATCTTAGTTTCCTCTCGTATATTAGTTTCAAGTTCATTTTAACTTCACTAATCTCATTTGGTCAACCATGATTGCATCTTCGATGTTCATGATAAAATGGTAGCTTCATTTTGTGACGTGGATGATTAGGATCAATAGCAAAAAGTTTCATTATGTAGGAGCCTGATATAAAAATGAAATATTCGTAATAGTATTAGTAATTGATTAACAATCATTTTTCTTAGATCTAAAATGAAGAACATGATGTTAATATTAATTTTCCTTATTCCTTTTGATAATTTCATCTCTTGTTTATATAGCATCTGAGATGACATGATCCAATACTTCATATGGAACCTTATTCATAAAAATCCATTTCTTTGTATGTTTAATCTTTAACCAGAGTAGCATTCTAAAGAAAAATTGTCTTGTAATCCTATAACTCAAATGGTAATTATTCACTATCATATTGTAAACTAATCTAGCACAACCCATCCATTGTCAAAGCAAGGTCTTTTAAGAGGAATTGGAATACATTCATATTTTTAATGATCATGTTAAGTCTACTTTCTTTATTCTTTTAGCTTGTCATGTGTTTTCTTTTCGTGTCTTTTATTTTTTGTCTTGTTTTCATTCTCGTTTGTATCTGAATAGATCAAGTTAATTAGAATTCATTTGCTTGATTACTTATTACAAAAATAAAGTTAAAGTTAAATATTTATATGAAAAAAATAAAATATTTACTTAGCAGAATGCTTTTCTTATAATCGGTAAATGAAAACTGTATTAATAGTGAAGATATCCTAAGATAATTCCTATTCATTTATTGGGTTATCTTCTAAGAAAACATGATCTTTATGCTATTAAGTTTAAAAACAAACTTGAGAAGATTAAAGGCAAACTGATACAGTTTTTCTTTGTAGACAACAACAATTTTTTTGACTAGTCTGCGACTTGATCATTCCAGTAGAAAACGCAATTTGGATCTCTTGAAATTAATATCAGAGCCTATATCTGAAATAAGACAGTGGTTTGGAAACTATAAGAGGTAGTATTGACAAATGAACTTGAAGTGATCTTAAGATGACCTAATCATGTAATGATTTTACTATGAAATCTAATTACATGATCATATACAAATTGATCTAGATCACTTTAAAAAAAGAAAAATTATCTTGAAATTTACCAACACTGGTAAGAAGAGGTATTGTTTCTGTCTTTCAAAATCTTCTTTCTATTTTGAGCTTAAAATCCTGATATAAATAAAAGATTTATATTGAGATTCTAAGGAGAAGGTAAAGATGATAATGGTAGCGATAATAGTATGATTTCTAAGTATAAACTTGATGTTATAAACTCTATGTTCTGAGAGAAGTCTAGAAGATTGTATTTTGCTCTTCCTATTTCAATGTCAAAGTATACTAGCTGAAATACCTAAAAGTTTAGATGCTATAGAAGCAGAAAGCAACATAAGTTTTAATTAATATCTGTGTTATAATATAAACACATAAAAACATAAAACACAATTTATAAGGCACTTTATATATTTTTATAACTAAGCAATGATGTATCTATAAGAAAAAGATATTCAATAATAGTTAGCCACTGTGATAGCCAATTATATTCAACCTTTTTAATTAGTTTATTCATATATTAGATGGTAATCGTTAAAGTTTATCAGTCAACTCATCCATTCGACTGAGTCATGACTCTCATTTAAAAGTAGTAATCATAATTGGACAAGAGGCATAGTACCGTAGAGCACTGACTAAACTATTCTAGGTTTTTTATAAATTCACCCCATATTTGCAAAATACCTAGGTAGTTTAATAAGGGGAGTATTTTGTATAAAGAGATATCTTGTATAGATCAAATGCGCTATGTTGATTATGGTATAAAATAAAAATTTATAACGCATTCCACTTTGTGTTGCTTGGCATTTATAGTTAAACCTTCTAATAATAATTGTTAAAAGAAATAAAAGAACTTCTCGTTCTAGAATAACTCTTAAAAAAAATGACAATAGTGTGTTCGTAAAAAATTAATAGTTTTATATTTTTTGAATTAGTCTGGTAATGTTTGTATAACTGCAAGTCATTTTGGCTTACAATCAAGTCAGGTTTGTGACTGGAGACATAAAAAAGATCAACTTAAAGCTTTAACACCTTATTTATTAAAGTTGTATAGTGATAAATAGCCATTCTTTCTAGATTTAAAGTAAGAGTTAGCAAAGTGAATTTTAGATTATCACGTACAAAGTTTGCCAATTACTAGAAATATAGCAATAAAATAGACTAAAGAACTTGCACAAACTGATAATTACCAAGAAAAATATCCAAATATTTTTTCCTTTAAATTTTTAAACAAATGGATGGATTGTTTTATGATTCGTCATGATCTTTCAAATAGATAAAGAATAACAATATCTCAATATTTACCAGAAGATTTACTTAAAAGCAGCAAAGTTTTTTAAGTTTTGTCCTATATAGAAGAATACAGTATGATTATCCACTAAAATTTATTGGAAACATGGATGAAACACCTGTAGCTTTTGATTTACCTAATTTATATATCTTAGAAAAACGCAGTTCTAGTTCTTTAATATTAAAACTACAGATCATGAAAAAAGCATCTTTACAGTTATTTTAGGTTGTATGACTGATGGATCAAAATTACTACCTGTTATTATTTTCAAATTAAAAAACATACTTTGAAAAACTTTTCCAGATGGCATATTTGTTAGAACAAATGAAAAAGGATGGATTAATGAGGATGAAATGAACTAGTGGATAGAAAATATCTGGTTTAAAAGAATCACTGATTTATCATCAAATCCTAGATCACTTCTTGTTTTGGATTCTTTTTGTGAACACTTAGTTGATTCTGTTAAACAAAAACTTAAAGAAAAAGAAACTAATATAGCTGTAATTCCTGGTGGATTGACATCTAAGCTGTAACCACTTGATATAGCAATTAATAAAAGTTTTAAATCTCATGTAAGTTTTATTTATGCTTATAATATATTATAGATATTATTATTAAATTATTAAATAATAATTATTTAAATTATTATATAATTTTTTATTTACAGATTCACGAATTTTATAATAACTGGATGACAAATGAAGTTCATGAATTAACTCCAGCTAAACGAATCAAAAAACCTTATTCTTTAATATGTTCATGGGTAAAGGATGCATGGGAAAAAATTTAATTTGTAAATCATGGAATTTCGGTTAAAACAGATGGTACAGAAGATGATGAGATTTTCGATTATAATAATCTTCTTATAGAAGATAAAGAAAATTTTAATGAAAATGATGGAGATAATGAATTACTTGGAGAAGGGGAGGATGGTGAAGATAATTATAATAATTGGGATGAATTTTAATAGTTGTAATTTGCAAATTAATGGTTTTTGCAAAATATTTTTTTTTTTCCCTTATGATCCCGGTACTTTTTGTATTGGTTTATCACTTGTCTAAGTTTTATAACGATGTTGTTAATAATTCCTTTATTATATATAATTTGATAGTTTTTTTAAAAAAAAAAAAAAAATAGATTAGCTTATAATATTCTTTTATAATTCTAATACAGTAATTATAAATTAATAAATAAAAATCAATAAAATCGCCTATTACTCGGTTCAAAAAAAAAACACCATGTAAAATACCCGGGTTTCTTACAAAATTTTTGCCCAAAACCCTAGGGGGTAGTTTACACAGGAGGGGTAGTTTAGTCAGTGTTCTACGGTAGTTGACAGCAATACGTGTATTTACCAAACTGAGAACAGTGTGAATCGGTAAGAACCAATCACGTCCATTGAGCGGGCAGACATCGGGACACTTTGCGTAGACATACATTCAACTCTTGTTATAACGAATTGTCCGTCCGGGCTGATCGGACCTTCGTTACAAGAAAATTTGTTATCACTATAACAAATTATTCAGTATATACAGAATAACGAATAATTCGTTATAATGAAACGTCACCCAATCGGACCAATCAGAGTGGTCCGTATAATTACGTGACGGTAAGTAGTATTTTTCTGTTAATTTTAAAATTTTTAATTTTTTTTAATTTTATTTTTCGATTAATTTTTTAAATATTCGGATGATGTATGCTTATATCACCATAAATAGTAGAATTCTATAAAGGTATTTTATTATAAATTTATAAAATTATCAAACAATACGCAATGCGCAGAAGAGGGTATTTTGATATATAATAAATGTTCAATAATCATTGGTGGGGATTTTAAATCACCCGTTTTTACATTTGACAATTTACGATTGCAAACCTGATTTGAATAAAGAATATTATTAGGTAAGATTTTGACCAAAATCGATAGATCTGATCTATATCAGACTAAAATGAATTTACATCGGAAGTTTCCGGAAAATTATAATGTGTCATTTGTCACAATTCCTAATAAGGTTAATTTATTTATAAATCAAAAAGTTATAAATATTCTGATTGGAAAAATTTTTTTTTGGTCCCCTCGAGAAAATTTTTCAATCTTTACTTTTTTTTATATATATATATTTCGTAAACATGCCTTTTAACGCTGGTAAGATTTATTACTCTTAAATATTGTTATTCGAAACAGATGATTTTTAAATGTCAGATGTTTAACCGAGTTGTACTGATCTCACTTCAATAGCCACTGCTGACGCTTCAAATGGTGCTAAATTGTAGGTTGAAAATTTTTTTCAGTTTTTTATTTTTCAAAATATATTTTACTTAGTAATCATTACGCACAGGTTCAAGACTCGTTGCGCTCAGTGCCATACAGTTGATGCGGGAGGGGCAAACAAAGTAGGGCCAAATCTTCACGGGTTGTTTGGTCGTAAATCTGGCACAGTTTCGGGATTTTCATATACTGCCGCAAATCAAAACAAAGGAGTAATTTGGAAGGAAGATACTTTGTTTGATTACCTCGAAAATCCGAAAAAGTATGACATATATTCCTGACTTTTGATTAAATGCTCGAAGAATAGCATTTCCTAATTTCATGTCTTATTTAGATATATTCCGGGTACAAAGATGGCATTTGCCGGTTTCAAAAAGGAAAAGGAACGAAATGATGTCATTGCCTATTTGAAAGATGCTACCGCTTAAACTCCGTAAAGATTACAAAAAAAAGTTGATGAAATTAATAACGTAGAAATCACTTTATCAATTGAAAAAAAATAATTTCATGAAAATTTATTTATTTGAAATAAAAATTTTAATAATCTTATAATGGTTAATTCGTTTTCCTTTTTTTTTTTATTTTATTTTTCTCGATGTAAATCAAATAGATAATAAATTTCCTAGATTAACTAAAGAGAGTCTCTTCCTGTAAGTTTTATAAAAGTCTACATTGATAAAATAAATATTTCTTTAATTAATAAAATCAAATTATTTCAACCTTTTCCGTTTTACATCCTATTTCTTAAATGCAGCATGGTCTTTATGGACTGTTAGTAGATAAAGATTATTAGATCTGAGCGTACAAAATAGGTGGAAATATCTTAATATTTTCCATACCTTTATAATATGGACTTTGAAGTTCGGGTTCTAGTAATTTTTGCAATTTCTCCATTACTTTAGAATTTTCATGTGCGTTTGCATTCTTATTCCAAATAGCGAAAATATCAGAATTATATCTAGAAGATACTGTTAAGCCAAAGATATCATCATCTAATATTATATGAATAACAATGTAAGTTCTTCTCCCTGAATTAATTATTAATTTAACTAATTGAATTAACCTTTAGCAATAACATCCTCGAATTGCTCTCCAATTAAAAACATGAGCAATTCTCTCCAAACTATTTGTGAATTGGATTTGTTGACACGAAACGACCAAGCGCCTCCATTTTCATTATGTGGATCTTCCCTAAATAATGTTGTAGTAACAAGTATTTTTTCCATTAATCACGCGTATAATAAAAATATTAACGTAAAGACCTCTTACCATACGGGACGAATTCCATTTTTCATGAAATGAAGACTGCTTCTTAATTGCAGTTGTTCTGGTCCTATGATATTGTTGTAAACTGACCAGAAACTCTTAGATAATAAAGATTTAATTATATTTAATTATGATTTAAATAAAAAAACGCGCCAATAAAATTCTCTAAAATCTTTTTACCTGAACTGTGGTTACAGTTGCGACGCTCTTTAAATTTTCTTCGTATTCTTCTAAAAAACATAAATAATAAAATAACTAATTTAAATCGATTGAAAATATAGAATTGCCATTTAAAAGGCTTAATAAAAATCAATTACAAGTATTTTACCAGGAGTGGCATTAGCGACATATCTTCGTTTCGAATTTTAAGTTATTTGAAAAGATAAATAAATAAATAAAAGAGTGAAAAAGCATATTTATGCGAATTGAGTATTGTTATAATTGTTATAATTATTATTATTATTATTTTCAAGATTTTCTTAATAAAAATAAATAATCGAGAACTCATAATCAGAACTCACTTATCGTGGTAAAATGTCCACTCGTTGGCTAATGGGTACGGTTTCGAACTTTTAACATTATCTACACTCCCGCCGTCACTCTCATTAGAAGCTCGAAGTGTATTATTTCTCCAACTTGTAGTTTGACTTCTTGAATTAATAACTGAAGGTCGTGTAGCAGAAGTTGTGTGAGAAGACATTTTAATATTTTGTTTTTGGTTCGCTTTTTGGCAATAAAGCTTATCGTTATCTTTTATATAACAGGGTTTAACTATAAATGATTAAAAATATTCGGATAAAAAATGATAATCGCAAAATAAATATTCAAAAGTGATAAACATAGTTCCAAGACGAAATTCACTAATTATAATATTCCTCCTTCCTTATCTTTTTGGAACCAATAACAAGTTTGTATTCAGGATTCCATAACCTTTTGTAATTAATTAAATTTAAAATAATATCATTTATTAGTTTTTTTAGTATACTATATATGTTTCGTAATAAATCGGGTCGGGTGATCGTTCGGCAAAAGTTCTTTCTAATCAAACAAGTATGGTAAAAAAATTTAACTTTTGTAGATCTCGTTTCTTGGTACATTTGATCTAATTTAACGTTAGATTTGGTTAGATTGTCGGAATATTTGCCTGCATGATTTCCGATTGATTTTAATTAAATTTTTTATAGTAATTCTTTTCTTTTAAAATCAATTAGATTAAGATATTAAGTGGTATATTTTATTTGATAGATATTTAAGAATAATAGTAAAATTTACATTAAATATGTGTGTAGAGTATGGGAAAAAATTAATCCTCAATTTTGAGGATTTTTAATTTTCTTCTATACCCCTATACACCTAATTATAAAATTAATAATAATAAAAAAATATTTAGATTCTATAGTTATTTTAAAATAAAAAAAATGAAAATAAGCAAGAGTATGTTTTAAATCAGAATATTAAATAAAATTAAATATATATTGTTAAATGGAATAACTCTTGAACTAATGATCAATATTTCGAACCGTCTTGATGAGAGCTTTCCAATATTTAGTGAGATATTTTAAAATGATTGTTAAATATAATTCTGTAGATTATTGCTAAACGGAGCCATAATTTCTTAACGTGAATTAGCGATTGTCCGGCCAAAATTATGAAAACGACGGAAATGATGAAAACTATTGTAATGACGAAACTGATGGAATGACCAATGGTAGGATTCTTTCTTTCTTGTTAGATTTTGTCTAAGAATTTTTATGTAAAAAACGTGTACGTTCAAGGGCGGCCACGGTTTAGCCTGCAAACAAAAAATAAAACTCCCCTATTCAAACTTGTTCCTCTTTTTATTCCCCATACCCTCAACCAAAAAATATTTCGTTGTTAGTCCAAACGGTGGTGTTTTTTTTTGTTAAAATATTTTTTTCACCACTTCTCTCGAATATTTTTCTCGTTTGTTTTCCTTTTTCTTTTTTGCCTACAAAAAGTGAGCATCAAGGGTATCTGAAATGACGATCAGGATCAACATATCTTTGAGCGTAAACAAATCTCACGTGATGACTATCCAATTACCTTTATAAACAACAACATTCTTTTAAAGATTTCCTGACGTTATAGAGTCCACCGATTTTAGCAGAATTTTCTGGTTCTCGCAACTATGTGTTTTGGGCTCTGTGCTTTTACCAGCGGCTGTAATCTGAATTGACAAACATATCAACATGGAAGTTTGAGATATCCGAAGAGCCTTTGACAGGACTTAGTGTTTTGGACACTCCTGTTGTGAGGTCACTGTAACTTGGAATTAACTAGGCATTTTAGCTAAGAATTTGTTGGAGTTGGTTGTCTTTTTTAACCTTTCTTTTTTTAGAAACTAATCTCAGGTTCATATGTTCTAGAGGGTATAAATTTTTTGTTTTTAGTTAGAGGATTAGTAGTTAGTTAAAGGAATAACGTTATAATATTGACAATTTCATTTGCTTTTCTCGTTAACGAGTTATTTATTAGAAATGGTTTTAGTGGACTTCTTGGAGGTAAAAGTCAGTAATTGATCAGCTCAAACAGGCTTGAAACAGAGTCACAGGGGGGGGGGGGGTAGCTGCAGTTTAGTTTAGATTTCTTATTTGTATCTTTTTACTTTGTTTTACATAGTTAGTGCATTTAAAATATAAATCTTATTAATAAACTTGTGGCAGTACCACATCGTTAAAAAAAAAAAAAAAAAAATGATGAAACTGATAGAATGGTTACTTTCTCTCTCGTTAGATTTTGTCTAAGAATTTTTACGTAAAAAACGTGTACGTTTAAGGGCGGCTACAGCTTAACCTGCGAACAAAAAACAAAACTCTCCTATTCAAACTTTTTCCTCTTTTTATTCCTATACCCTTAACCAAAAAATATTTTGTTGTTAGTTCAAACGGTGGTGTTTTTTTGTTAAAATATTTTTTTCGCCACTTCTCTCAAATATTTTTTTCATTTGTTTTTGTTTTTCTTTTTTGCCTACAAAAAGTAGGCATCAAGGGGGTATCTAAAATAATAATCAGGATTGACATATCTTTTAGCGTAAACAAATCTCACGTGATGACTTTCCAATCATCTTCATAAACAACAACATTCTTTTAAAGATTTTCTGACGTCATAAAGTCCACCGATATTAACGGAATTTTTCGGTTCTCGCAATTATATGTTTTGGGCTCTGTGTTTTTATCGGCGGCTGTAATCTGAATTGACAGATATATCAACATGGAAGTTTGAGATATCTGAAGAACCTCTGACAGAACTTAGTGTTTTGGACGCTCCTGTTGTAGGAGGTCGCTGTAACTTGGAATCAACCAAGCATTTTAGCTAGGAATTTGTTGGAGTTGATTGTCTTTTTTAACCTTTCTTTTTTCAGAAGCTAATCTCAGGTTCATGTTTTCTGAAGGGTGTAAATTTTTTGTTTGTTTTTGTTTGGGGATTAGTGGTTAGTTAAAGGAATAGCATTGTGATATTAACAATCTCATTTGCTTTTCTCGTTGATGAGTTGTTCATTAAGAGTAGTCTTAGTGGACTACTTGGAGGGAAAGTCGGTGGTTGGTCAACTCAAACAGGTTTGAAATAGAGTCACAGGAGGTAACTGCAGTTTGGTTTAGATTTTTTATTTGTATCTTTTACTTTGTTTTACATAGTTAGTGCATTTAAAATTATAAATCTTTTTAATAAACTCGTAGCAGTACTATATCGTTAGAATTCAAAAAAAAAAAACAATGAAACTAATGATC